AATTCTCCCACACAAATGTAAAAGACATTTAAATTCCAGCACACAAATGTAAAAGGCATTTAAATTCCAGCACCAGAAGAAAGGTTTCTCTCTTGCAGGCCTGCCCAGGCTCAGCCTACAGGACCAGTTTTAAATTCAGAATTAAGCTGGTGGGTGTGTGTGGGGGTGGTGGCACACTCCTTTAATCCCAGCACTCTGGAGGCGGAGGCAGAGGCAGGAGGATCTCTGAGTTCCAGACCAGCCTGGTCTACAGAGCGAGATCCAGGACAGGCTCCAAAACTACAGAGAAACCCTGTCTTGGAGGAAAAAAAAAATTAAATTCAGAACTAAACTCCTAACTACAACTGAGGAAGAGTCCCCCTTACTTTGAATAATAGTTTCTTTCACAATCCGGAAGAGGGCCTGGAATGCGGAATTATCCATGGCAGCCCTAGCCTCCCCTCTTCCTAAACGGTAGGTAGCAGGGTCATGCTTTTGAATAAGGACTATTCTCTGGTTCACACAGTAAACCCTAAAACACCTAATAACATATGTAAGGTGTGGAAAGAAACTGATTATTTGAAAGGCTGGGTGTGGTGGCGCACACCTTTAATCTCAGCACTGGGGGAGGCAGAGGCAGGCGGATCTCTGTGAGTTCAAGGCCAGCAGGAAGACGTAGTGAGCCCATGTCTCCAAACAAAACATCTGAAAGGCAGGCAGGCCTGTATGTTAAGTCCCAGCACTCCAGAGATGGAGGCCAGAGGATCTCGGGAAGATCAGTCTTGAAACCTTGTCTCAAAACCAACCAAACAATGGGCAGACCACCCAACCAAGCTACTTCGGGGGAAGTACCATTACTTCAAATTTTACTAATACCACTCTAATAGCTGCTGTAATTAGGTTGAGGGATCCCCAACCACAAAGCGATAGGAAAAACGTAAGTCCACAACACCTTTGCTATTCTGCTTAGAGTAATCTAAACGCTGGCAAGGATGTGGATGCCGTTCTCTCTTAAGCCCAGAGAGCCTTGAGTTCTATTTATCACCTCAGAGGGTAAAGTTCAAAGCCCTCAGTGGGAAACAGGGCTCTGGACTGCTCTTCAAATTTTAGGCCCTTCCCTCTTAGCTACCTCCACCTTCCTGTCCTACTTCTGTGAATAAAGACTCTTAATCAAGTTCCCACACCAGACTGGGGCATCTTGGGTGCCTCCTCTTCTAGCGCCCAGCTGCTCCATCACATGTAAGACTTATCAAATCCTCCCCACACTCCCTTAACCAAGCAGAAAGGGCCCAGAGTGGGTGTCCTGTCCAGTCATGAATGCAAGCAACAAAGATGTGCCTGGCAGGACTTGTGATTTTTGTCACCAATGATAATTATAGCCACTGACCCAGAGCCTGGGGGACCCAGCTGCTACTTAATAAATGTATACAGAATGAATGGGAACCGTGTGCCAGGCATGCTGAACCAGGCAGTCTCTCAGCTTCCGTTCTTGCCATATGTGAAATAACAGAAGAAAGGGGTCCTTGGTACCCACTGGGTGAAGGTCCCCCAGTAAGGACCAAACCCCGTTGAAGCCTATTCTGAAACCCATTACAGCAGCTGGGCAGCAAGGGAAAACAATTACCCTGACCATTAGCAGTGAGCTTGGGTAACCTGAAAGTATGGGGGAGGTAGAACAGGGCGCCTGAGAACCACTCTTGCAAAGACAGGCGTCAGAAAACCCTGGAACTGTTAAGGACCCTTTAACCCACCACCTCACAGTACATCCCACCTCTTCCCTGACCATCATGGAAGCGCCAGTGAACAGACCCAGATACGCAGAAAGCGCCGAGAAGTCGGTGACCTCGGGAAGTTTGGAGAAAATGTTATCTCCAACTAGAAATCAGGCCCAAAGCGGAGGTACTGTAAAGGAACGGTACTGCTTTGCATAATTAAAACAGAAATGCCGAGAGTGAACGGGTGTTGAAAGGATAACCAAAAATAGGCTTTTTAAAAAAAAAAACAAACCCAAAACCCTCCCAAGACTCCAAACCCCTCACATGCCAGGCCTCTTTATTCATGTAGGGAAAAAAAAAATCTTCCAGGACAAGGTAGGCCCAAATCAGGGCAGGTTCAAAGACCGCGCGCACATCCTCCACCCCCACCCACCCCAAGAGAAGGCAGTGAAATAAACAAGAACTCTGCGACCATCCGGACCCAGCGAAGAGGCCCCTTGTTTTTACAAAGCCAGGGGCACCGCCAGAAGCTCTCACTTCCCGGGCTTTTCTTGCAGGGTCAGCGCAATCTCCCGGAAGGGGTCGGCCCGGTGGGCCTCAAGGACCGCGGCGGCGGCGCGGCGGGCCTTTCCCGCCCTCCTCCCCGGGTTCCAGTGAGCCGCAGCGGGAGCGCGGCGGCCCCGAGCCCACACAGCGCCGTCCTGCGCCCCCGGCCCGGCCCCGCCGCACCTGCACCATGATGGCCATGCGGAGCGAGTCCTTGGGGATACTCTCGCTGCATTTCTTGCAAGAGGCGCGCCCGCTCTTAGCGTACTCCACTCGGTAGAGCCTCTCCGAGGCCTCCGCCATCCTTCTGCTCGTGCCGCAGCGGCCGCCGCCAGACGCCGCCGCCGCCGGTCCGCCCCGATAGCTAACGTGTCGGTTCCCCGCAAGCGTGCGGCGCCGCCTCCGCTCGGGATAGATTGCTGATGCCTGGCGGCGGGACCGCCCCCAGGCCCGCGCGTGGGGGGCGGGGCCTCTGCTCATGGGGCGGGGCTTCGACACGCGTCTTGGGGGCGGCGGCGGCGGCGGCGGGTGGGTTGCGTTCCGGCGCGACTGCGCCTGTGCGCGCTCGTCTCGCTGCCTCCAGGAAGGGGCAGGGGCCGGGAGCCCGAAGAACCTGACGAGCGCCATCCCTTTTGTCGGTTTGTCCCAGAAAGGCTTCCTTGCTCTCTAAACGACTTCCACTTCACCCCCTCCCTCCTGTTTTTTCTAGGTCTGTCTGAGAGCATTCTGGTCTGCAGCCTCCAGACTGCTGGCACAGAAAACCAACCAAAGCCTAACTTTTCATTCTTCGTATACTGAAAATGCATAACTGTAAATTCCAAGAGAATGAACAGTGCCTGTGACTGTTGGCAATAACTGCAGCAGAATTTTTCAAATCATACATTCGGGGAGACCTCAAAATATTTGCCGGGCGGTGGTGGCGCACGCCTTTAATCCCAGCACTCGGGAGGCAGAGGCAGGCGGATCTTTGTGAGTTCGAGGCCAGCCTGGGCTACCAAGTGAGTTCCAGGAAAGGCGCAAATCTACACAGAGAAACCCTGTCTCGAAAAAAAAAAAAAAAAATATTTAAGGTTATCGCCAATTGAAGTTATGATGATTGTTAAACTTGCTGCTGTTAGATCTTGTTATTTAATGTAGCACTACGATTTTTAACATAATTGGGTCTTTTTTTTTTTTTTTTTTTAAATAATTGTATGTGTGTGACGCAGGGTCTCATTATATAGCCCTGGCTGGCCTGGGACTTGCCATGAAGATGAAGTTGGCTTCAAACTCACAGAGATCCCCTTACCTCTGCCCTAAAGCGTGGGTAAACTCTGCCTGGCAGCAAACTGGTTGGTGAGCTGTGGCCTGCTTGCCCATGAGTCGTTCTGACTCAGTAGGTATGGATTGGCTCCAGGTGCCTTCTGTGAGCTGCCTCTGATCTTCTAACCTGTTATCAGTGAGACCCTGCTGTGGCAGAGATAGGTCACATGGCTGTTCCCTAACCTAGTCCAGGTGGTAGTCCACCCTCCACCCCTTTGCCTTGCACCCAGTCCTACGTTTATTCACCCCAGCAAATGTCTCCAAACCAGGCAGGCTAGGCTATCCCAGACTTAAAAAACAAAGTCTCACAGACCAAATTACAACGTGTGGATTACAGGGGATGTTTTGCCTGTATGAATGTGTCATGCATGTGCATTGCTTTTGGAGGCCAGATGAGTTAAACTGAAGTTACAGATGAGTGTGAGCGGCCATGCAGGTACTGGGAATCGAACCCAGGTCCTTTGAAAGAACAGCTAGTGCTTTTAATCACCGAGTTCTCTCTACCACCTCCCCCTTGTAGTAGATTTTAAAAAACTTACAAACAATTGCATTTACTTGGAAATATTCAGAATGTCTACAAAACAGCTGCAGCTTTCCCATTACAAAGAGATACTCAGTGAACAGCGCAAATACTTCATTTGTTCATTTGTTATGGATGATGGTGGTGGTTGATTCATCATCAGCTCTGTCTGCAGAAATGCAGAATTTGATGTGACAGCTGCTGCCTTGACTTCCCCACTGTGGTGGACTAATTCGGTGATATTTTATCTGTGTACCCCAGTAAAGCTTATCTGAGGATCAGAGGAAAAAGCCAGCCACTATAGTAAACATAGAGGTCAGGCAACGGTAGCACATGTCTTTAATCCTAGCATTCGGCAGGCAGAGATCCATCAGGATCTCTGTGAGTTCAAGGCCACACTGGGAACAGAGCCAGGCATGGTAGCACACGCCTTTAATTCCAACATTAGTTAACCGTCAAGGTTTGGAGGTCCGGACAGACAGACAGGAAGTGACCGAGCTGGACAGAAAGAGGAAGTGATGTAGCTGGGCGGAGAGAGGAAGCGAGATTGCAGGGCACAGAAAGGCATATAGTCGTGGGTATATACATAAAGTAGCTCACTCTGGAGGTTGAGGACCAGGAACTAGATGCTTTTAAGCTTTTTTTTTTTTTTTTTTGTTTTTGGTGTTATGGTTTCTGTTTTTTTTTTCAAGACAGGGTTTTTCTGTGTAGCTTTATGTTTTTCCTGGAACTCACTCTGTAGCCCAGGCTGGCCTCGAACTCACAGAGATCTGCCTGGCTCTGCCTCCCGAGTACTGGGGATTAAAGGCGTGTGCCACCACTGCCTGGCAAGCTTTTAGGCTTTTTAGCAGCAGTTCAGCAGAGATGCTTTTGGGTGAGGACTCAGAGGCTTCCAGTCTAAGGAAACAGGATCAGCTGAGAAGTTGGTAAGGTGAGGTTGGCTGTGGCTTGTTCTGTCTCTCTGATCTTTCAGAATTTACCCCAATATCTGGCTCTGGGTTTTTGTTTTTTTTTTTTATTTTTATTTACAAATAAGACAGTTTAGAAATTCGTCTTATAGACTAACAGTGAATAAAATTAGCCCTTCTCCATAATATGCTTCTGTCACATTGTCGTATCATAGTGATGAGGCACGAAACCAAGACAATTAGCTTAAATTTTTTCTAAATTATATATTACACATATGTATACACATGTGTACTAGACAAATTTTATTGTTGAGCGATGGCCGAGGCCAACAGCCTTATTGTCTTTCTAAAAATTATTCTATTACTATTATTTTGTGTGTGTGTATGTATATGTCATGGTGTGTACATAGGGGTTAGAAGATAATTTGTAGGACTTGGTTCACCCCTTCTGTCATGTGGGTCCTGGGGATTGAACTCAGATCATCAGGCTTGGCTGTAAGAGTCTTAACTTACTGAGACATCTCACTGGCTAGTCATACAGGAGTATTTTAATATATGAATTACCTTGTGTTCTTAGCCCTTAGCCTAGTACCTGGCATGTGATAGATCGTCAATGAAAATTTACTGCATGAACAAATGATGCATATATAACTATGTACAAAGAAGGTACACGTATTTTTTTTCATAGAAGAAAAAAATCAGGACAGATCCCCAAAGGCATGCCGAAGAGTGGGGACCACTGTGTGGTGCCATTGTTAGCTAGTTAATTCCATTTATCCCGGGCAGGCAGAGCCCAGCCCTGTTCCAAGGGCTCTACCCACGTGGACCAGTATCTACTGAGCACATTTCTCACAGAGCAAATAAACCTAGTTATTTTAAAACACAAGGCCAACATCATGAAACTCACAATTGCCTCTGAAAATTATGTTCCCTTCTAAGCCTACGCAGAAGTCCTGGCTGCTGATTTTCTGTTAAGAGTGGAGCTTGGTTGTGTGGGCATAACCACCCCAGGAAGAAGTAACCAGGGCCCACAGCCCATCTGAAGGCTGATGGATGAGGGGACCTACCTGGTCACAGTGAGTCCTTCCCCTCTAGTCCCTCCAGTGATCTTGAAGCTAGAGAAGGGAGACGCACATCCTCCTAGCTAGTTGGAAAACCTTCCTTCTCATTTGCTCAGCACTGGCAGGGGTCATATAAAAATAAGACCCTCTTGTCTTTTTGACAGCCACACATATAGGAGGATGGGAAAGAAAATGCAGACAGTGCCCCAATCCAAGAGGGAAATAGTTTCACCAAACCGAAGTTACATTACAGCCCGGCTGGGAACCCTTGTGTTTATGAAGCCAAGTTCCTTTGTTAATGGTTACATAAGTCTAATCAGGGTGTAGATTTCTTAACTGTATTCACACACAGATGCTTTTCAATCACTGTGATTTATTTTTCAATAACACTTCCTTTTTTTAAAAAAAGAAAAGCTTCAAAATTCTGTCATCCTCCTCTCTATGTAATTTCCAAGGGCAGAAAATTTCAACTAGAATTAAGTAAACACATGTAATTTCATATTTTAAGACTTGATTTTTTTTTGAATTACAGTTGAATGTTATTGCAGTATGATTTATTTGACATATTGAGAAATAATTGAGTCAGATCTTGTTCCCTGGAAGACAATTACATGCAGCGAAATCTCCAGGATTTTAAAGCAGAGATGGATTGTGGAGGTATGGTGGGGGGTGGGAGTGGGAGGCACACAGCTAGAGCGGCCTGGGATGACCGCCAAGTGCCTGTGCCATCCTCAGCGACCCTGTGAGGACATGATTCATTCATGAGCTGTCGTCAGTGTTCTGAAAGGTATATTCTACAGCCCTTAGGTGAGGAGGCAGACGGGGTAAGACAGGGTGTATGTAGTGGTCAGCAAGCCCTGAAATTACTCATACTTGGGAAGCTGGATCACTCAAGACAGGCTTGGTCACCTCGACTGTTCCGTAGATGGTGCCCAGAGTACCATGTCCCTCTCCAGGGTCAGGAGAGGGTAATATTTGGGGGATTTTGGCCCATGAGGACCTTTGTACAAACCTGACTGGTGAACTATAGTTAAGAACCCAAGGCAGGAAATTGATACCTGCCACAGCCCAGTCTAAGGTGTGTGGATTTTCTTCCACCATGTATTAGAACCTGTGTTATGATAATCTCCTCATGTATCTGGCTTTTTCATTTGTCTAAGTCTGTTCAGACTGCTATAACAAAATCCCACAGACCCACTGGATGGCTTATAAACAACAGCAGTTTGTTTTTCACAGTCTATGAGCTGGGAAGTCCAAAACCAGGGTACTGGGAAAGGTGGCATCTGCTCCTCACAATGGATGCTTTTTATTGTAACTTCTCATGGCAGAAGGGATGAGGAAATCTCTAGGGCCTCTGCATGAGAGCGTGGTGTGTGGTGTGTGGTGTGTGGTGTGTGGTGTGTGGTGTGTGGTGTGTGTGTGTGTGTGTGTGTGTGTGTGTGTGTGTGTGTGTTGTACTTGTATGTGTGTATGTGTGTTCCCATATACATGGTATATGCATACACGTGTATGTAGAGTCCAGAGAGGACATCAAGTGTCCGACTCTTATCACTCACCACCTTGTTCCTTTGAGACACCATTTTTCACTGCAATCCCCACGCCCCCCACGCCCTCACTCCCCCCCACCCCTGCTTTTTCTGCCCTGAACAGTGATGGGGCTACAGGCTCATGTGGCTGAGCCCTGTGTCTGACACGGGATTTGAACTCAGGGCCTTGTGCTTGCACAGTACACGCATACTGGCTGAGCCATTCCCTCCAGTCCCTGGGGCCTCTTTTGTAAGGGCACCAGTCACCTCTCAAAGGTCTCATGCTCAGACACCTTCAGAGCTAAGAATTCAGTAAGTGGAGCTGGAGAGACGGCTCAGTAGTCAAGAGCTCTTGTTGCTCTTCAGAGGCCCCAAGTTCAGTCCCTAGTGATGTGAGTAGGTGGCTCCTAACAGCCTGTGACTCCAGTTCCAGGGGATCCAATACCTCTGGCATCTGTGTATATCCGTGTGTGTGTGCCTAATAAATCTAAACTTGGTCGTCCCCTTTGATTACATTTGTAGGTGTGCGCTAGGAAAACTTGTGACTGAGCAATGGGAAGACAAGAAGATTACGAAGATGTTTGTAGATTTTCATAAGAGCACCCAGGGGAACTACTATAAATATCCACAGAAGGTAAAATAAATGCATACATTACAGTGTTCTCACCCAGTAGAATCCCAATGCAGCAGTATAAATGAACAAACAAATTACAGCTCATGTATCCATACATGAGTCTTGAAAACAGTGCTAAGTGAAAAAAACTGAATCAGAGTTACTAAGCTCATTTAGTTGGGTAGGTACATTTGTATAAAACTCAAAACCCCCTCATATATATATATATATATATATATATATATATATATATATAATTTAAGTTTCTTACACACACTACATTCCTTAAAGAAATACAAAAAAATGTGGTGATACAATGTTCTGAAACTCTCTCTTAACGTTTCTAGGAGACTGGAATTTTTGCTGGACCTCACAGCCAGAGTTAATAAATAATACACTTTACAAATCACGTAAGACTGCTCTCCTACTGTGTACTCAGCCTGTTGGTTTAACTTGCCTGTAAGAGAACAAGCAATTTTACTTGCCTTGGGTTTTCCCCAAGTAATCAACGTTTACAACCTAAGCTAATTGTATAGCTGTAGTCATAAGTTAAAAACTCTTCCATGCCCTGACCCATATAATGTATGTGTATCATCTTTCAAAAGCAGCAAATACAGAGGGTGAAAGTCACCATTTATGGATATTGGTTGATAAACAATGATATCTGGAGGACTGTTTGTTGTCTGGGTCAGCTGGGGCCAGTTGGAGCCAGCGACTTAGTCCCTTATAAAATTCTGTTTGTAAAGTGTTCCATTCCTTCCTTGTGTGATGCTTTTTATGCTCGTCAATAAATACAGAGTGAAGCCCTTTGTTAGAGACAGAAACACACAGCTCACACAACACACCAACACAGAGACACACACAGATACAGAAACAGACAGACACACAAAGACAACAGATAGAGACCAGACGACACAGGGGGCTTGAAGCAGATAATTCAAAATCTGGATGTATGTACTCTTGGTTAAACAATTCCAAGGGGAAGTGTTTTTCTTTCTGTCTTCAATGTGATATTACCTATGCATTATTGGTGACTTGGGGTTAAACAATAAGGTGTATGCCAGGCGGTGGTGGTGCACGCCTTTAATCCCAGCACTCGGGAGGCAGAGGCAGGTGGGTCTCTGTGAGTTCGAGGCCAGCCTGGTCTCCAAAGTGAGTTCCAGGAAAGGCGCAAAGCTATGCAGAGAAACCCTGTCTCGAAAAAAAAAACAAAAAAAAAAAAACCAACAACAATAAGGTGTATAATCTGTGCAAAACTGTTGACATTTGAAGTAGTGGTTATTTTAGGGGGATAGGTGAAATAAAACAGAGACAGAAACTCAAGGAGCTTCAAAGTCATTTTTTTTTCAGCTAGCAGATAAATATATGACTATTTCATTTTGATTCTTTTGAAATGTTATATATAATGTACATGTTTCTGAATTTCACAACAAAAATTTTCAAATAGCATCAATACCATGGAGCCTCTCCTGAGCACTTAGGACAGGACTCTGACCTTGGTGGAAAGCAGCATTCCAAGAGCCCAAGGCTGACTGCAGGGAACAAGGTCTGGCTGGAGTTTGTGACAGTGGCCTGCCTCACTGTGCCGGTCTAAGAAGCGCTGTCCTGACTGAAGGAGTCTGCCTGCAGAGCAAACGGACCAGCTAGGGTGGGGTCCCTAGTCTCCTGACAGGCTCAGTCTTCCTAAGCATCATTAAAGGGAGAATGGTTGAAAACCCTCCCATCCCCAAATTATAGTTCACCAATGAACTGAGCCCAGGGAACACCGTATGCCTGCTAGTGGATGGGTCCCACAGGTCCTTGCCTCAGGGGAACACTTGCCCCTTAGCAAGTCCAGAATATAGTTTTCTGGGAAGGGACTAGTGAGATAGGTAAAATGCTTGCCTCTCAAACCCGACCACCTGAGTTCAGCCAGATGTGGCAGCATCTGTAACCCTACCGTAACTCCTGCTGTGAGTGAGATCGGAGGAGGAGGAGGAGGAGGAGGAGGAGGAGGAGGAGGAGGAGGAGGAGACAGAACCACTGGGGAGCTCAGTAAGTCAGGTAGCCTGGAGAACACACAAAGGCAAGAGAGATCCTGGCTCACCAAGGTGCAAAGAAAACTGACTCCTGAAAGCTGTTCTCTCCCACGTGTGCTGAGGCGTGCGTGCGTGCGTGCGTGCGTGCGTGCGTGCGTGCGTGCGTGCGTGCGTGCGTGCATGCGTGCGTGTGCCTGCACTCATAATACACATGCCACACCCCCAACAATAATCACAGGAATAAATGCAGTAAAGAAAAGAAAGCAAAGGAGAAGGAAGAAAAATTTCCTTGGTCTCTCCCAGGTAGTCTATGTCCCTTTTCCAGGGCCATGCAAAACTCCATCATTAATCACCCACGTTGGGGTGGGAGACGGCTCAGTGGTTAAGAGAGCTTGCCAGTCTTGCAGAGAACCCAGATTTGATTCTCAGCTCCCACATGGTGGCTCACAACCATTTGGAACTCCAGTTTCAGGGGATCCAGTGACCTCTTCTGACCTCCATGGGCACCAGACACACACGCACGCACGCACGCACGCACGCAAAATACTCATACACATAAAATAAGTAAATCTGAAAACAACAACAAAACAAAACAGCCTTATTTCAATCACCTAGGTTGTGAAGTCCCAGAAAGACTTGAACTTGCCCTTTGGGAGCTTTGTGCTGTGAGCAAGGCTTTTGGCTTCCCAAGAGCTGTCTGTTGATGGTAGTAATGGGTAGATGAGGTCAGTGTGAAAACTAAGAAAGATGATGCGTGTTAAGCCCCTCATCTTTCCCGCAGAAGGAGGTCAGTCAATTTTTGTTGAATGAATGTCCACTGTCCAGAGCTCGCTAGTCTTCTTTAAAGGCTCTGGATCTGACTGTGGTGGTGACAACCGCCATTCCACAGGGAGGCCAGCTGGCTGGTGCTGGGAAAGAATATGCAAGGTGACCTCACCTTGATGGGCTCACTGTGTTCCAGGCTCTGGTCCTTGGCTTGGTCTTATAATTCAGCTTTGTCCATGTATTCGGAGAGAACCAGTTGGGGACTGATTGGTGCATTGATATGAAAATCATGACATGACGTCCTTAGTTTGCTATGGGAAATAGCAATGCTTGGCAGACTTGAATGTACAATCTATAGGGCCCGTGGTGGTGTCCCTTTTGGAAAGTGATGGAAGTCAATTGAGACTCTGAAGAGTCTCAGGTATTACAGCTTAGACTGAGAATAACCCCAGGATGTTGAAGGGTCAGGTTCCAGCTTGGTGCTACTGGGAAGTTGTATGACAAACCGTGTTCTGGGAAGATGCAACACACAGTCTGCTTACCCCAGATAGGGCCCCACAGCAGACCAAAGTACCGATACCACCAAAGTCCAGCTTGGTGCATCAATAAGGTTTATATTAGATTACTAATAGGAACGTGGATGGTTACTTACAGGAGCAGAAATGACTCACAGACAGCTACATCACCAGAGCCCACCAAAGCTAGGAAACCTGGAGCATACCATACAGCCAGCAGGACCCTTGGTAGGCTGGAGCATGCTCTTCCCAAGCAAACCTCTTCCAGGCAGCCCTGCTGGTTTCTGTTTCTTCCAGGCAGCTGGTCTGATCTCAAGAGTCGTCTTTACCGACTTAGCCTGAAAGGGACTCTCAGCTTTCAATCCTTACTCTGGCAGGCAGGGCTCTGGTGGATCTAGTCCATCTCAGGGACTTCCTGGAGCTAGTTGGAATTGCTTATCTCTCTGCTTAAAGAGCTTCCCTGCAGGATGGACTATTGCAGTCTCCAAGGAAACTGGTATACACCAGAGGTGGTGCATACCTTCAAGAAGCAGGGGCCCCTAGCAGGAGGTTGTAGGTCATATGGACATGCCCTTGAAGGTGTAGCAGGACTCCAGGCCCTTCCTCCCTTTCACTTCCTGGTGGTGATCTGAATGGTTCCGCTCTGCCATGTGATCTCTACCATGAAGTTACTGCCTCACCACAGGCCCAAAAGTAGCAGTGCCAACTGATAGTGGATTAAACCCCCGCCCCCCAAGCCATTGAAGTAATCCCCCTTTTCTCTATAAGTTATCTCAAGTATTTGTCAGAGTACTGGAAAGCTGACTTACAACCTGGAGCCAGCACCAGGCACAGATGAAAGACTGTTGGAGGTAAGGCAGCCCTCACTATCATACTGTCTGCCCTCCCCCACATCTGGCCTCTGAATCATGCTGTACCTTTGACACACTGATCATGTAATGAAGTCTAATCAAAATGCTCCTAAAATATGGCTCATTTGTTAAATCTTTGAAATTAGGAAGATTGACTTGCAGTCTTCAGCGATTCTTCCATAGCTTGGAAATAAATTGCTCTACTGTCCACTAGATGGTGTCCAATATATATCCAAGTCCTGCCTCACGCCTCTGGAAAGGCACAGGGGAGCCTGACTGTGAAGCTGATGAGGGAAACCTGTATGGTGTGACACACCTGCTTTGGTTGCAATGTTTTGCGTTCTGGTAGCTGGCAGGGAAGTGCCTTCCAGACTGGAGAAGAAAGAACAGCTCCTGGGCTGTGGGCTGAGAAACTCAGGGGCTGGTGGAGGCATCCCAGGGAGAGGTGATGGATCTGAGCCTGGGCCAGGACTGGGCAGTGGAGCCAGAGGTGGGGGTAGATAGGGGTCAGAGAGAGAGGTCCTGGGGGCAGAATTTGGTTGTTTCAATCTTTCTTTTTGTCTTCGTTTTCCTTTATAGGCTGTAAGCTACAGGAGTGTAGGGGAGTGGTCTTATTCATGCAGCTGCTTTTCAGGACCACACAGAATAGATATGCAATATATTTATGATGAAAATATTAACATAGTTCAATGGTTAGTGTTCATCAATTTGTCTGGATTTGGAGTCACCTAGGAAACACACCCTGGGTGTGTCTCTGAGGGCTTTTCCACAGAGGTTTAGCTGAAGAGGGAAGACCTGCTCTGAATGTGGACAGCACCGCCCCGTGAGCAGGGCTCCCAGACTGAATAAAATGAAGAAAGTGAGCTGGGTACCAGCATTAACCTCCCTCCACTCTGTGACTGCAGATGCTATGTGACCTGCCACCTCGCACGCCCACCACCTTGTCATGAACTACGTCCCCTCAAATGGTGGACCTTCCTTCCTGAAGTTGCTTTTGTCAGATGTTTCCACACTAAAACGAGAAAAGTAACAAACAGAAACTCTTCTGTGAGACTTCTGAAATACTTGGATTTACTTCTGTCCATTTCTGTAGTGACTCCCAAATACTTAATTTGTAGGTTTGTCCTGGTCAGTATTCCTGGGGCAGATGTATTTCAGCCAGGGCACTTTGAAGACTCCTCTCAGGCAATCCATATGCAGAGTTGAGATCAGAAGTACCCTCCTCCAGGGTACTCCAAATTGTGTAAAACAGGGGCTTTTCAGGCCCGGTTTTACTCCGAGAGACTCCATTATACAAGCAGCATTTGACTCCATTTTGAAGATAGAGGATGACTGTACCTGGGTGGACACACAGACGGCTCTGTCTGTCCTGCACCATCCATGTGGCCCAGATGGGTAACTCGCTTATAAAAGAAGAAAGGATACCATCCTACACATTTACCAACATAAATTGGGCCTGCAGAGCATTTATCTTATTAAAGCTGTATCAGGAGAAGCAGGCCTGAGAACTTACTGGAGACACCAGACTGAGGCAAGGGGGCAACTCCCTCACCTGGATCTGATGAAGATGAAGATGGTGGTGATAGTCTATTGACTTGTCATCTGACCAACCATTGTGTGTGTCAATGGACCAACAGGCAGAGAACTCGAAACTGTCTAAGGGCTTCAGCTCACCTTAGTCCCCACTATTGATGAGGCCTGCTTGAATTGCCATCCAACCACCCATCCATCCATCCATCCATCCATCCACCCACCCACCCA